CAACCAGCCGGGAAGACAAAAGGGGTCCCGGGTCCCAGCAGTTGGAGAACCCCTGACTTGAAGCCTCTCCCAACACAGAGCACTCGGGGACGTACTCTGACACATTCCACAGCAGCACCGTTCTGAACAATCAAACCTGGCCAGGCCAATCGAGGCTGGATCCAAGCCCGAAGGTGGCCTGGCAAACTCCAGCCAGTGACAGCATGGCCTGCACTTGTTTTTATAAAGTTTTCCCGGCACCCTCCATTCCCTGTCCCCAACTGCCAAGGCCACAGCAGCAGGGCCAAGCAGCCCTGGCCAGACTGACCACAAAGGCTGTAAGATTTACCATTACGCCCTTTACCGAAACGACCCACTGACCCCTAGTTCAGGGGACGTGCCCTTGGGAGCTTCGGGGGGGTTGGGAGGGACAGCCACAGGAGTGGGTGCTGGTAGCGGTGACCACTCTCATGCAGCCAAGGGGAGAGTCCTGGTCTCGGCGCAGAGGCCATCCGTGAGACGCCTAGGGCAGCACTGTGACGGATGATGCTGGCGAGGCCGTCCCTGGGCCACCATTTCGACAGCTGTATCAGCCTGACCCTCACACGGCCTTTGGGGCAGGCCTGGCCAACTTAGGTACTTATTTTCCTAAAGCAGGTATCTTCTAAATTAACAGTTCTCAACCCAAAGGGACTCTGCCCCCAGGGACACTTGGCATGTCTACTGGCGTGGAATAGGTCAGGCCAGGACAGCCCTGTCCCAGAGAATCTGACCCGAAATGACCAGAGGACCAAGCGGCAGAGCCCGTGTCCGCTCTTTGGGAAAAATACTGAATTTGATCTCTGCTCGCAACAGACACCAGAATCAACTCCCGACGGGCCAACGGTGTAGACCAGGGGATCCCAGCTCCTGGAACTTCCCTCTCCCCCCGCCCCCCCAGTGTAGATTTCCATGTGTGCAGCCTCCTGGGACGCAGAGGCTCTCTGGGGTCTGTGGAATCCTAACTGAGGGGGTCTTACCCAGGGACGATACTGACATCCCTGGGCCACGTCTGGGGACATGTGTGATGTCACAACAGGGGGTGCTCCTGGCATGGGGCAGTGGAGGCCAGGGACGCTACTTACACCCTGCAGTACCCGGGATGGCCACGCAGGAAAGACCCGGCCCCAATGTCCATGCGAGGGGAGGGACCCTGAGCCAGGTGACTTCCTGGACTTCCAGCGTGAGCCAGGCAAGGCGCATTCCTGACCACCCCCTCACCCACAGCCAGCCCCAGGCCGAGGGAGCCAGTGAGTCACGGTCGGGACCTTGAGGCGATCACAGGAGGAGCAGAACATCATACCCGGGCGTGTCCCTTGTTATTTTTAAGGGCAGCTAAGACACAAAAAGACCGAGGCGCCTCTCGCCTGTGCCCAGCCTGGCCTGCCGCCGGGGTCCCTACCATGCCGCTCCCCGTACTTCTGCCAATCCAGCGACACAGCCACCACCCTACTCAGCCCGGAGGAAACTGCCATGTCACCCCCATGTCCTGAAGAAAAGCCCAGCCATAGCCTGCTCTGTAGTCTCAAGGACCTGGGGCCGCTGGCCCTGTTGCTTAGACAAGATGGCAGCACTCTCCAGAACATTCTGCAAAGACAGCATCGCACCCACTGGAGGCCGCGTGGCTTTCCATCCTGGACATCCCACGTGCACACCGACTTCACTTGGTGCCATGGTGTGCTTCTGTCCCCAGCCTCCCGGCCCCGTCCAGACTCCCTGGACAAGGGCACTTCACAGCCCTGCAAACTGGGGACATTGTATCACCTCTGTAGCCCGGAAGACATCAACAGCCTGTACACATTCCCTTACAAAGCTACACACGGGCCCGACGGCCAGGAAGCGCAACGAGAGGCAGTTACAGTACTGACGTGGGATGTGGAATCTTTTCAACACAACCAAAGCTGCACTGGAAGACAGATTCAGTGCTGAGAGGCCAGGCTTGGAAGTCAGAATTCAAGTTCAAATGCCAGCTCCCCGCTCAGATGGGATGGGGCCAGGAGCCCTCGTCTCTGCCTTTCTAATGACTGCAAACACAATGTACACGTCCAGTGAACATAACATTACACTTTAAACATACCCAGATGTAGCCGGGCTCGGTGGCTCAGCCTGTAATCCCACGCCTTTGGGAGGCTGAGGTGAGAGGATGGCCTGAGCCCACGGGTTCACAACCCACCTGGGCAACTTGGTAAGACCTCATCTCTACAATAAATCAAAATGAGCCGGGCGTGGTAGCGCACGCCTGTAGTTCCAACTACTTGGAAGGCTGGGGTGGAAGGATCGCCAAGGCTGCGGTGGCTGGGAGCGGCCACTGCACTCCAGTCTGGGCGACAGAGTGAGACTCCAACTCAAAAAAAAAAAAAGAAAAAATAAACATACCCAGATGTGACAAATACTTTCGTATGGACCAAGTATTACTTTACAATCGAAGGGAGACCTCTGGGCGCAGTGGCTCATGTCTGCGGTCCCAGCACTTTGGGAGGCTGCAGCAGGAGGTTCAATTGAGGCCAGGAGCTTGAGACCAGCCTGAAAAACATAGCACAATCTCGTCTCTATTAAAAAAAAATTTTAAATTAGCCGGGTATGGTGGCGCATGCCTGTAGTCCCAGCTACTTGGGAGGCTGAGGCAGGACTGCCTCTCCTGAGTCTAGAAGGTCGAGGCTATGGTAAGCCATGATCGTGCAACTACACTCCAACCTGGACTCTGACTCAAAAATAAAGAGATGGAGTTCTGGTTGGGTTACATGGATGGAGACATTTGTCAAAATTCTTCAAGTGGTCCACTTACCATCTGTCTGTTTCACTTCATACAAATTTTAGTTTTAAAAGATCAACACAAGACCCACAAATTCTGAGCTCCAGTTAAGGGGGACGTGCAGCAGTACAGGGGTGAGATGGACTGGTGTCTGTAACTCACTTTGAAATGTATCCTAAGAAATAAGAGGGATTGATGGACAAATAAAGAGACAGGCTGACAGTCAAATAACAGCAGAATGCCAAATCAACATGGCAGGTGTGTTCAGGTGTTTCATGGCTCTTTCAACTTTCCTGCACGTTGAAATGTAAAAATTAAAATGCTAGCTCCATCCGGGCACAGTGGCTCACGCCTATAATCCCAACACTCCAGGAGGCCAAGGCGGGAGGATCACTTGAGTTGGAGGTCGGCCTGGGCAACATAGTGAGACCTCATTTCTACCTTTAAAAACAGGGTCAATACATCATAAAAGTAAAAGCTAGCTCAGTGCCCAGCATAGCGCAGGCACTCAGTAGTATTTATTCCCTTGAACTTGAGAGTCCAGCCTGCCTTTGTGCTATGTCATGAACTTAGCAGATACATGCAGGTTTTCGGAAACTCTGAGACAAAGGTGCCTGTGCTGAGCCAAAAGGCTGAGTGGCAAATCAAAGTCAGTTTGGGCAGGGTGCGGGGGCTGACGCTGGTCATCCCAGCCCACTGGGAGGCCAAGGCAGGAGGATTGCTTGAGGCCAGGAGTTTGAGACCAGCCTGGGCAACATAACGAGTCCTTGTCTCTATCAAAAAAATAAATAAATAAATAAATAAAACAAATAAGCCTGTTCGTGCCTGTAGTCCCAGCTACTTGGAAGGCTGAGGCAGGAGGATCCGTCTGAGCCCAGGAGGTGGAGGCTGGGCTGAACCGTGACTGTGCCACTGCAATCCAGCCTGGGCAACAGAGTGAGACTCTGACTCAAAAGTAAATAAATAAAATCACTTCAGATGCCACAAAAAGGGTCCGCCATCAGAGGAGGGGGCAGAAGAGTGCCTGGGGGTGCACACGGCTACACAGCCAAATCCCCGAGTTCTCCAGATTGGCTTCTCCCTGGCAGGACGGGTTCACGCAGATTCTTAAGACTCAAGTCATTGCGTCTCTTCCTGGAAGGAGCTAAGGGGAAGGTGTCCCAGGCTGCCACGAGCCCGAGAAATTAATCACCAGGTCTCAACTCGAGTAAGCAGGCAGGATCTTCCCAGCCCCCAGAAAACCTGGCCGCCCCAAGGCATTTGTTTTCCAGCCTAGACACCAGGTGGCAGCAGTACCCAGCTCAAAATCCGACAACAAAGTCGGGCGCACGCCGCCCGACTGGCGACTTTTAATTCAGTTCCAGCGTCTCTACGCCCCTGTCCCCGCAGTCCGACCGACTCCAGGAGGCCAAACCCCAGGCCTTCGACCGCACCACCTTACCCTGCTGGGAAATCCCACTCACAGGACCGTCCCAGGATTCCCCAAGGACACCCACAAAAATAGAACCCCTCCAGGGGCCAGCAGAGAAAGCGTCCCAAACCTGGGCAGCTGTGAAAGCCGAGGTGGCCATCTTAGAAGCTACAAAGGCTGGGGAGACAGCAAAGAAAGGACAAGCGGGCCAGGGGACCCCGCAGAGGCCACACACCCGGGTCACGGGCAGCCGCGGACAGCAGGCCCAAGGTGGCGGAAATCCCTGGTTTATAAGCACCACCTCCGGACGCCGAATAAGCTCATCCAAATTTCTAGGAAACACCCTGGGGATCAGAGGTTTAACGGGCATAGGCTGTGGAAGCAATCGGTGTGTATTTAAGGAAAACACCCTGGACGCTCCCGTCCTGTCTGCGTGACGGCTCTAGGCCCTTTCTCGAAATCCTGCAGCCCTCCGCCAGCCACCTCTAAAACTTCTTTCTCTAGAAAGTATTTTGAGGGGAGCTTTGCAACAACAACAAAGAGTTTGGAAGGCCGGGCGGACAGATCCGAGTGCCCGCTGCCAGCCCGGCATGTCAATCTCCAGTCCCGCCTTTGTTCCTTCGTCTGCAGGCATCTGAGGCTTCTGGGGACTTCTCCTTCCGGGAGAGGCGAAGCGGGACCGCAGGAGGAGGAGGAGGGCGGGGAAGGGACCTGCTGGTGGCTGCCCGGCGCGCCGGCGCGGGGGCCTGGACCAGGCAAGAACAAAGGTGTCCGGCCGGCGGGCGGGCCGGCGGGTGGCGGCCTGCCCGTGGGGTTTACCTGCTTGCCCCGGTAGAAGAGCCGCTGCAGGCCTGGCTCCACGTGGAACAGCTCTTGGATCTTCCGCCTCAGCTCCTCCACCTTGGTCAGCCTGGACAGCGAGTCCACCGTGTGGGTCTCTCGCCCATCCATGGTGCGCACCTGGATCCACATGGTGTCGGCGCTGCGGGGACAGAGAGCCGGAGACCCGGGTCAGTTCCCCGGCTGCCACCAGGCCAGGCCAGGACATGGTGGGGTCCCGGCTGCTTTTGTCCGGCCTGTGGACGCCGGGAAAGTCCCACAACCCCCCCCCCCACTCACTGCCAGACCCAGCCCAGGGCCCAGCAGAGTAAATGAGGGACTTCATGTATTCATGACCACCAAGTGTGGGGGATTGAGGTAAAAGGGACTTCAGACCACCCAGCCCGACCCACCCTCGCTTCACCGACCGGAGGAGGAAGAAGGCCTCGGCCAAGGGGCCAAGTTGGCTCGCTCGCTCATGCATTCATTCATTCATTCATTCATTCCTCCGATTCACATTGACGGAAGAGGGAATCCCAAAAGTCCGGCGCGGGCCGGAACTTCAAAAGTCCCGGGGGAACTCAACCAAGTGCGACTGGGAGGAAAAGCTCCCACCCGAGACCCGCGGGCCCTGGGACGCCCCCCCCACGGCGTCCGCGGAGCCCCCCCACCAGACTCCGCGCGCGTGCGCGACCGGGCCC